ACTTCTCGAGGAACTCCTGTCATGTTCGCCAGAGACCAGGGGAATATGTCACGAAATTCACGTAGCAAGGCACTAACCTCGGCTAGCAATGGGTCGTGAAGAGAAATGCCGATTTGGTCTTGGTGAGGTCAGTCTCGCTCAAGACCAACTCTCGTGACTTACTGTTGAGTGGTGGAAGATTGGAGGTCTCGGGATCCTCCGTCTATGGTGGTATGGAAGTTTGTTGGATTGAGTAACACTTCGATGCAGCGGCACTCGGATTAAGGTGTGCGGTCTTCTTTCGGATTCTGACTGCAATGAGCAGGCATTCTCGAGAGCTACGCTGGCATCCTTGTACTACTCCAACTCCATATTCTGTTAGAAACTTCATTACTAGGTGGGAGACCAGACTGCACGTGCCTGGCACATCCAAGGTCGTCCCAGAATCACGTTGAACGGTGATGGCGCATCTATCAAAGCGAAGTCCATGGTTAAAGTGACCGTCCTAGGGTGCGAGTCTACCGAGATGGGGAGGCTAATTATTCCTGATGGAATAATGGTGTGACCTGAGAATCCCATCAAAGGCATTGTGGCTGGGCGAATGCTCGGGTTCTTGATATTCATCTTCTTGAAGCAATCGCTATATATGATGTCGACCTCACTGCCATTATCCACATAAACCCTTCTGACTTTTACATTTGTGATTATTGCTTTGATAACCATGGCGTCGCTGTGTGGGCAGATATCTGGGACTACATCGCTATCTGTGAATACGATGGCTTCTGTGCCCTTGAACCTCTTGTGGCTGGGCTCCTGTCGAGGAGTCTTGCTAACGGTCCGCAACGAGTTCTTCATGGCCGTGGTGTATAAGACTTCAATGGGAGCTCCGTAAATAGCCCCTACCTGGTGAGTGATGGTCTTCGTCGGATCCGCCGGGGGGAGTTGCTGGAGTTGCTGATGTGCGGCTTCAATAATTTGGTGAGATTGTTGTTGGGTATTGGCTCTTGGTTGCCAACTGTTCCCCCGGCCGTCGCCCCCTGGCAGGCCTTTGAAGTTTTTTTTAGGGTAATTTCATCATTGGGGTCTGTTATTCTTCTGCCGAGAGGCTCCTTGTACGTACTGCTGAAACTTGCCAGACTTGACCCCATTCTTAATTTCCCTCTTAAGTTCTCGACAATCCTACGTGTCATGGTCATGATCCTTGTGATATTCACAATATTGTTCTGTTGATCTGTTTGGATTAGGTGCCAAAGGTTTCGAGACTGGTAATTCGTCCTTGTGGATTAGGTGCCAAAGGTTTCGAGACTGGTAATTCGTCCTTGTGGATCTGGAGGATTTCTCGTTGCGGCTTGGTTAGGGGTGTTAATTGCCTATCCATCTTGGGCAGCACCGATTTTTTTCTCCATGGAGACTTTTGACTTGTCTCTTAGTCGTACTGACGCAAAAGATTCCTGGGATCTTTCGAGTGTGTGTTCTCGTTGTATGTGGTTCTCGACAATGGCCCACATCTCCTAAGCATTCTTGGGGGACTTAGTCGAGAGCTTGACTCACAACATTGAGGATTTTCCAAAGGGGTTAAGGCCTTGGATGAATCCATTGCGAACATCCCGATCATCGATATTGTCGACCTGCAAGGTTTCTTGTATGAACCGTCTATGGAAGTCGGTCAGACTCTGATGCTGCCCTTGTCTGATTGAGGAGAGGTCAATGGACATCCGTGATATTTGTTTACACTGGAAGAATCGGGTAGCTAGTTTGATGGACAGATCCTCAAAGCTAATTACACTCCCTTCTTGTAATTGTCCAAACCATTGCTGTGCTAACCCGGCCAAGTAGGAAGGTAGCGCTTTGGCCATTAAATTCATGGTTGTGTTTCGAATTCTCATGACCTGGACATATCCTTGCAGCCTTTGGGAGACATCAGTTTCTCCTGAATATGGTTTAAAGTCCTTAGGGAAGTCAAAGTCTCGGGGCTTAGGTTCATCTCGAATGTACGGGATGAAGGGACTTCGGTCTAACCCTATCCCGATAATCTTTCTCATTTCTTCTCGGATCAAGATGTTCTGATCTCTTGCTCCTTGTTGATCTCCCTGGAAGTATGGTGGATTTTCTCTATGCCTGTTATATTGCTAATGTCTGGGAGGCGAGTATCGAGGACGGTGATGGTATCCTTGGTTATAATTGCCCTCGATGTTCTTGTAGCCTTGATGTGGTTCGTGGCCAGGTTTATATTCATCTTTTCGAGGGCTTCTTCAATTCCAAATTAGATTCTAGGCGGTTATGTCCATTAGTTCGCCTTGGGGGGTTCCCTTTTCTCCTTCGATGATCTCGACACTCGGGGAATCGTGATACTCCCGAGTATTTTTGCATCAGTTTGTCGCGACAAATCCTTCGAGGGCCATCTCAAATGCTGGGTATTTTTCTCTGAAAGCATTCCAGAATATGGTATCTCGGGTGGCGTTTGAGCGATCTTCGTGGGGGTTTTCATACCCCTCGACTTCTTGATAATTCTCGTCTTCTTGGACTTTCTGTTTCCCCTGCTTCTTCTCGAGAAGGGCTACGGTTCTGGGAGCTTCTTTTTCATCAATCAAATCATTCAACTCCTGTTCTGTGGGATCAAATTTTCAAGGGAGACAGTGCCGCCTGGGTTTCTTCCAGGACATATCTTCGCATCCTCTGTTGCTGATCGCTATCATCTCCTAGCTTCTTGTGTTCAGCCTCGATCTTGGCTAGCTTCTAATCCTCCAAACGCTTTTTGGCAGCAGGGGTATTTCAAGGAGAACGTGCACCCTCCTTCTCGGGTGGATGATTGGCTTTGTCTTGTTTTTTTGGATCGGGCTGGGAAGAGCCAAGGACCAAGCATTCTTTTGTTGGTTCTCTTTCAGGTTCTTTGCCATGGCTCTTTTCTGCCTTCTTTCTTTCTTATCTGCGTTGGAATTCAGCCAGGGGGTATTGTCCCCTAGACTATGCCGTCTGCCAGAAGATGCTGTGCTACTGGTGTCTTCTTTAACTCTAACCATTGTGCTGGTTGTTCCTGCAACCCTAGTTTTTACCGGGAGATGTTAAGAAAACTTGAGAAGGTTTTTGTGACACAAACCCTAGTTTTTGGGTCCCACTGAGCGTGCCACTTGACGATACTTGGTTTCGCGCCGGTATAATAGTGGAACTCCGGCTTGGGTTTCCTGCAAAATAGAGCCTCGGGGGTCTCCTGAGGGTTGACATTCCGATGCTTAAGTCAATAAAGGGTTGCTGGAACGTTTAGGTATGTAGTGTGTTCAGTTATAGATTGCGTACCTGTATTGTGGTGTGAGCAACCCTATTTATAGGTATGAGAATACCTGGGAAATCCCTGAATCCTATTAGGTTTCGGGAACCTAAACCGCCTCAAGAGTCCCAGTTGGACTCTCCTTTCGGTTGATGGGCCGGTCCAGTCTCGGTGATGGATATGGACTCGTCAGCTACGGTGACAGATTATGTGTTTTACTTTTGTGTAGAGCTTTGTACATAAGTTTTGTACAACACTGTTAGTTTAGCAAACCTCACCGTCTCTAGTCGTCTATAAAGAGCCACACTGTACAGATTATTTATCAAGTTGTGAATTAAAGATTCAGTCATTTTAATTTCTGTTATCATCTCCCTTCTATTCTGTTTTCCCCAATTTAGATTCTTGGGTTTCTTCAACCACTAAGGAACAACGAGTACAAGTAGGAAGTTTTTTTTTTTCTTCAGTGGTGAGATTAAGCAACTGAAGTTGAGTCGCCATCGACCGCGAATATACGGTTCTCTGAACAATGGATAAAAGGATCAGGCCGTTAACCATGTTGGAAAATGGCTCAACAAAGACCTCCTCCTCGAAGTTATTAATGCTGACATCATGATCATTGAAGAACGGGTGCTTGAGATTAATACCCTTGAAAGGACCATTTGTGGACACATATGGTTCTAGGTTTTTAAATTGTAGAAGCAAATACCCTTTCCGCAATGCTACATTGCGGAAATCATTTTAGCATTGCGGAAATCTTAATAAAATGAATTAATAAAACCACGTTCAAAGAATGCGGTTTTCTTAATTTTTTTTTTTTTAGAAAAACTCCAAAACTGGCAGGAAATTCGATGTCGAATAAAAAGTAATAAACTAAATTCACAAACTCTAAATGCGGTATTGACAATTACAATTTAAAAAAAATAATTTCATAAGGCGGCAAAATTTGAATGTTCAAATCAAAAAACCTCATACTCTGTTTGCGAAAATTAAAACCGCATTTCTCCTATGCGGTAAATGCGGTTTTAAGTCTTATCCAGAATGCTTGAGCAAGTCTTGCGGTAACGACATGTGGCGGATAAGCTGACAATAAAAGTTTACAAAACCGTATTCCTTCTATGAGGAATTTGGTAAAAATATCTGTCAAAGAAGAACGCGAACGGGTATTTCTTTCATTCCCAATTATATGATTTTCAGCTTTGAGAGCTTCCAATCGGAAATGCAAAATTCTGGCGAAAGCAATGCGAATATTTGAAAGAAGGATTCGTGTTTGAATCGTTTTGGTATGTTTCTATTCTCTATCATCTGAATAATGTTAAGATTTATCATCTTTATATTTTATTGTAGAATCATGAGATGAATGATATAATTTTGATGTATGAAATGGGTGAATTGGTTGAATGTATATATTTTAAAGATGAACATGTGGTTGAATTAATTCGAGACTTTATGTTGGGTATAGGAATGAAACTAGAATATAGATTTTTTTTTTTTTTTGAAAAGATTAGAATATAGATTCGATAGATGTATAGATGTGAAGATGAGATAAGAAATTTATTAAAATTAGACAGTTGAATAAAGTATTTAAATCAGACAGTCACGATATATTTTCTGTATTAACTGTTGGATACATTTTAATTTGGGGTTTAAATTATTTGTATAGGTATCGAAAATGTCTTTCCCTGGTCTGTTTGGTCTGAATGTGTACTGAACTAGCGGTATTGAAATTGTGAATGGAATTGTTGCTGTGAACAATAGAATGGCAGAAAAAATAATATTTATAGACCGCGAGTTGAATTACATTGAACTCGTGGACAAGGTCTGGAGAGCTGCTGGTTTTGATAAGGGAAGGGTAACAATCAGTTTTGTTCTTGTGTGGACTGATAGTTCTGGTAGAAGGGGATATATGCATATTCATGACGACGAGGGTACATCGTTTATATACCTACTGCCACAAAATTGGCCTGAATTGTACGTTTGTTTTGCGCCTATTGGTGGGGTTGATCATGCAAGCTCATCTGGACAAGCTACTGGTGCAGGTACAAGTGGTGCAGATACAAGTGTTGATAGTCAAAATGAAGACAGTGAAGATGAAAGGGGTGAAGAGGAAGGTAGGGAATAGGCTGGTATTGACGACGAACATGTCCCGTCGGGTGAATCCTCTGATGAAGAAGATGACAATGACACGAGTGCATCTGTTAATCCTAGGTGGAAGGCTTATGAGGCTTACGCCGACATAAGTGGATGGGAGAATCCTCCTGTAGAGAATGATACTTATGCTGAAAAGATGTGGGACGGTGTCATTGATCATTTTAAGGCTGGGGTACATTTCTTGTGCAAGGATGATGCACAGGGTGCTGTGACCAAACGATCTACTGATCGAGGTCTACTAGCAGACGTTGAGATTTGTGCACAACTAAGTTGGGGGAGCGCCGTGCAAGGCAACTTGTATAGAGAGTTGTGCGAAGCTTCAATGGGGAAGGAGAAATCCATATACAGATGTTTGCTACTCGTACAGGTATATATACTACACAATATCTCGTGATTCTATGTGATTATTTTTAAAAACTTAATATTAACATATAATATTTTTATTTGGACAACTTTGGGCTTGGAGAGGATTAAGAATATCCAGCCAAAAATATCCAGCCAAAATTACGATGTCTAGAGCCACAAGATATAGGGGAATGTCCCCTTGCCAGAAACTAAGTATCATTTTAATGAATTGGATTTGTATTCTATATTGTGTATATTGGGTAATTTGATGCTATATTAATAATGCAGGTGGAGATGTCCCAAAGTTGTCAAGAATGTCACGAGGAATAATCTGCTTGCCAATAGGGATCAGTTTGCTGTTCTTCAGGAGTCGGAGGTAGACATTCATACCATGTAAGCATTCCTTGTTATTATTATTATTTTTTTTTTTTATATAAAAAAGTGTTTTGTAGTCTGAACATTTTCCTGTTAATCCATTTTTTGTAACAATACATTTGTCATATTTCAGTTTGTGTGGTTGCCGTATTCGCCCAATGTTTTCGATAGTATTCACCCCATCTTGCCTTGCCGGCCATCACATCTGAAGATCGGAGACCTATCTGATCTTTTTTAATGTCGTTGAGGCACACATTCCTGGTCGGGTTATCAGGCAATTTGGGTTCAAACAGGGCATACCCGATGGGGATTGGACAAGATAGGGCGGTAAAAAAACCCTTACTGAATCTGCACAAGATAGGGCGGTATGGCAAGACAAGGGATTGGAAAGATTTTCACAAGGACTATGTCTGGGTTTGGGAAGATAGAGCTAGTCACCTTGTTGGGAGCTCTGATGATTGCATTGGCTTCCCCGCGACGGATGACGAGTACTTTCCACGGTACTAGCTCAGAACTATGACATTTGTTATGGACCCTAGAAAGAGGCATACAGAGGGTTTCCAGGGAGCGGTAAAGGCGTATCATGTTATGGTGAGTGTTCTTACTTTGTTTCCTCGTACTTTTTTTTATAACTTTTTTTTATACCTATGATTGCATATTTTGGTATAAATGTGCAGGCTAATTTAGTCGCCCATATTAAGAGGATGAGTCTCCTTGGCATGGGTGATTGCACCGACCCTAAGTCTTCTGCTCATATAACGTTCAACCAGATCGGAAAAACTCCTGATCGAGCCTTGTCATTGCAGAGGACCCAGTGTTGGGTACTTTCGAGCAAAAGTGAGATTCAGATTTTTGTCAATGCAGATCCAACTCAGGTATATCAGCCACCTGTGATTCGTCAGCGTGCACCTCCTAGGAAGGGAGTCCAGAGAGGTAGGAGGCAGCCCAGACTTAGGTACAGCCAGGATCAGGGTGGGTCATCATCACAGCCCTAGCAGCAGGCCGGGTCATCATCACAGCCCCATCAGAGTCTGTATTGTCTTATTTTTGAGGAAAATCAGACGCCATACCGTCCTGCTTTGTTGCCACAGCACCGGACTCAGCTGGATTTTGGTGATCAATTTCTTGCTTCAGGTATGTCAGACCAGGTTCAACTTTCTCAGGAGGCATTTCAGTTCCAGAGCCACCTGTTTTCGGGTTATGGGTTTGATATTGCTGTGGGGCAGCATTGTTTTGAGGACCAGGTTACAGATCAGACTCAGCAATATCAGGCTGAAGCTCAGGTACATTTTATTCATTTGATAAATCAATAATACGGATAAATTAATATTTTATTATTTTATCAATTAGTTTCTTTTAATTTTATTCATAGAGGTTGTTAATTTATCTAGAATTAATTGGTAGAGGTTCTTATATAGGGTTCAGAGCTTGCGGGCCAACAAGCATGCAAGAAGAAAGGACCGCATCATAATTTATCTTTTACACCGCTGGCTTTGGCTAAGGAGCCGAGAAATATAAAGGTGCTTGTAAAGCTTGCTAGTTGCGGACTCGGTGAAGATAACTCTGATGGTCAAATGGGCAAGGGCAAGAAGCGCAAGTAGCGTTTATGTAGTGTTATGACTTGTAGTATTTGGTATTTTGTCATGTCTCTCACTAATTTGATATTTTGGCTTGAGTACTTTGGTTATATTGTTGAACAATAATTTATAAAGTATAACATTTCCTAGTTTGGCATCAATCTAATTTACTATCTCAAGTATTATCAACAATTATAATCGGAAAACTATATAAACATTCGCATATTTCTAAAACTTATTTTACCTTTTATCAAGTTTAATGTCAACAAAAAATAAATTATCATAAATTTAAGAAAACTTACTTATTTTTCCTTATTTATGGGTTTAGATCAATTATTTTTTCTTGAAATTCATATATTTATTTCATCTTTTTTCGGTTACTCTCTTTTATTTGTTTTCATGTATCCTCAACATTTTAAGGTTTTAAATATTTATTATCCTTTAAATTTTATTCTTGAATTTTTATATCAATTTTTTTAACATTTATAATCGCAATAATCAATTTATACCCTAAAATGTGCATAACATATTATAATATATAGTAGTAAAATATTTTTGCTCACAAAATAATTAATTATATTTTATTATTTATTATTTTTCCCACAAATTTAATAAATCCACTTTGAAAATTTTGTAACATCAAATATTTAAATCCACATTACAAAATTACGGTAATGCAGAAAACCGCAACCGAGTATTGCGGTTATATATTTCCGCATACCTCGTATGCGGTTTATTTATTAATTAAGATTTAGTAGAATTAAACGTAATTAATTATTTTATTTTAATTAATTTTTCAAAGAAAACAGCGTTGAGGGTTTGCGGTTTAACAAAACCGCATCCTTGTTATGCAGATATATTTACTACCGCAATGTGTTGATGCGATTATTTTGTATTTCCACATTGCTTATATGCGGTTTTGTGTGAAAACCACATATCTATTTTGCAGGAATGGTATCTGCGTCCACAGCAGCCTTCATGTGGCCTTTTGTGTCCAGGAGTAGAATTTTCAGACCCATATAAGTAAAAAAATTCATTGAAGAACTTGTGGACGGGAAGTTGTTCTGTCACGACACCGTTAGGGTTTGGCGGAAAGATTCCCCGTTTGCCCGTGACGTAAAACAGGATGTAGGATGAGAAGGGAAGCCGGGTCTCGGTCTAGGAGTTGGTGAAATGGATTTGGGCAAAATTCCGGTCACGAATCACGACAAACGATGATTTCGAGACAGATTTGAATCGCATCAGGGATTTTGCTAGAATCCATGATAACATGTTGAATATGCTATTAACTGGGAGCTCAGGTGGCTGGTCGACGTTGGAATTTCTCTTTCTTGTCTTCATAGCGTCCGGGCGTTATATGCCTAGATTGAATGAAACCCTGTGGAGCAAATGCGCATTTGTATTTAGGTTACTTTCTCATGGCTCATGCTCCTCTTTCAATTTTTTTTTCAATCTATTCTTAGCTTTGACCAACCGCTTTTGTTTATTCAAAGGGCGAGTTATTTTTCTTTTTTTTTTTCAAAATGATTTTTGAACTTAACTGACACAATTAAACAAGTCAGTAACATGTAAACCTTACAACCGGGATCAACCCATTAGGTTTTCATTAACTTTTGTAAGTCGATCTATGTTATTCTTAGATTAGTAAATTCTATTACTCGATTCATGCTTCGAAATTTCTCATTCATGTTGTCGATCGTGATCATCATTAAAGAACGCAGTTAGCAAGAGAGTTTTGTGATTCCTTTTGATGTATGAGTTCCTCCTTCCGTATCACAGGGTTTAATGAAACACAATAAATGTTAACAATATTGGATTAGGAAAGGCAGTATCGCCGTAAAGGCATTGCAAGGAAATGGTGGATAGAGGAGTACGCAATTGGGAAATATTTTTTGTGAATATTTTAATTATTACTTTTAGCATAAAAATTGAAACTAGACATTAAAGAATATCCTAACCCAGCATTATTTTAATATTAAAAAGAAAACGAACTTTCATACATTTTTCTATTGATCCACACACTTAAAAGGGGAACAAAAAAAAACAAAGAAGAAGCCCTAAAATGATCGTTTATTGAGATTGGTTGCAGAGATTCAAAGGGAGAATGTTTTCAACGTGATGGGCACAAATAGCATAACACACCATCGGAAGTATACTAATGGTAGATGACTTCTCCTCAAACTGCAGTCGCTTAGTTTCATACTTTTTTTCTTCGTTGGTATTCTCCAAATCACAAAAGGCCAAAGTAGCATCCCTAGAATCCCAACCCGAGCTCCTGGAGTCTGGCGTTCCTGTTACCAAAACCCTCCCTGTAGATGTAGATTTGATTAATAAATGATTTACTAGAAAATTTTAAAAATTCAAGAACAAAATTTATTGAGGTAAAAGGGAAATGTATAGATAGATACTCTGAACAATCAACTATTTTCATCACAATTACAACAAAAATTCAAAAAAAAAAAAAGAAGAAGAAATCAATCTAAGCTTGTAGTATACGAATATAAACAATAAATCTTGCTCCTCTCCGCAGAGTTCTATTACTCCATTAATCGACTCTAAATTGAGCTTCTGCCTACATCAGTTTAGGAACAAAATCCACATGTCTAGAATCTTTTTTATTGTAATGTTTTCCATTCGTCTATTCTCATATATATGCAAAAACTAACAGCAGTCAAAGTTTTATTCTTATTTCCAATATTCTTCTAAATATATATTGCAACTCCAAATTCCATCTTTCTCATTTATGACAATCTTCATTTACATAATCTTGTCAAATTATCCTATCTCGGCCCAAGGTTAGTCTAGATGTGATATGTATCAAACAAGGAAAAACAAGGATAATTTTAATTATCCAGCAAAAAATAAGAAAATAAATGAAAACGATGTTGTTCGTGCCAACGATGTTGGGCCCTCTACTCAGAGAGGGGCATAATAGCTGTTTTGGAAGCTCAATTTTAGACTGAATCCAGAAATTATCATGCCTGTTAATCAATATCCACAATGTGATCATTTCATCACGACGGCCCTTGAATGGAGAAGCCAAAGCGAAACGGCCTCCCATTTGTGTCATAAACTCAGTTTTAAAATTTGATATGACGAATCTATTAACATTACCGGTGTTACCACGAGCCAAATCATCGGGAACCGGAAGTAATTTGAACAACTCCTTCGAAAAGTTGAAATAATGCATCGATCTCCCCGTTTTTTTATCCAATGGTTTCCAACATTCCCAAAAAATTGCACCATCTACGGAAATGTTGTCCCTCCCCATCACAAGATCGCGCCTAAGTGAACTTGGAGCAATCTCCCTCCATTTTGTAATGATATATCCATGTTCGAGTCGGGATTAGAACTCCAGAAATTTAAAGGGAAGCAAGAGTCTTGACGAAATGCCAAATTTTCATTAATCTTCCTCTTTCCCGTTAAATTACAATACAAAGATATAAATAGACTTCAACAATCTAAAGATAGGGAAGTTATCTCCCACTAACACATGACTCTAATAATAACTACTTCTACAAAGTTATCTCCTAAACCTGACTCTAACCAACAACCGTAGGAAATAATTATCTACCCTATTGGATATACTAATAATTAATTAAATAATAAAAGTAGCACAAAATAAATAAAACATAGACTCATAAACTTCATATTGGATTTTAGACTTTATGTATCATTACACATTTCATATTTGCAACAAAACAAAAGTGAAATACTTTGTATTCCTTCTTGATAGGATCAAACCCTAAGAAACTGGAAGATGGGGAGAAACACCTATTACAGCAACAAGGCCAACTCCGGAAAGGAGGATTCCTAATCGACTCAAGGATTAGTTTATCTCTTATGTGACTTGATTAAAGGCATACTCTGTTTATGATGTCCTTAGTGGTAAAAATGGTAATAGGTCTCTGGTTGTAGACAAGTACGCTAGCAGACAAAACAGAAGGACTTATATATATGTATGAGGCATCAGTAGTAAGGAATAACCAAGAAGAAATTAATTTACTACTTTTGGTCTTTATCGCTTTCCTTTAGTTTTCCTGCTTTTCTCTACTTTATTTATTTCCTTGCTTTCCTTTATTCCGGTGACCGCAACATTGGTGCTTTCTTTGAGTCTATAACTCCACCATGGTTCACGGCAAACACAATACATGCTCTAAAACCTCCGATTAACAGAGCGACAGTTAGGCGGCAACCCCAGATCTGCAACATCTGCAGGACCAGCTCTCCTCTCACTCAGCAGATCTGCAATTTATCAAAACCACTATGGCGGAGCTTTTGTCCCGCTTGCCGGTGCCCTCCCCTCCTCCTCCGACTCCGATTCAGCCACCACTACCCCCTATATCGACCCCACCACCTCCTTCAACCCCCCACCTTTCCAATTTTTGTCCTCGTCTCTTTTTTCCGGCATGCCCTTCTCACTTTTCTCCACCAATACCCCCAGATCTGGTTCCCTTTCACCCACCCAAACTCCCCAAACTCGAAATTCCCCTTTTCACTGGTGAAAACCCCCGAGGTTGGCTGTTCCAAATTAACCACTTTTTAACCTTCCATAATACACCCCCTGACCAAAAACTGCAAATTGTTGGCTTCTATATGTGCGGCCCAGCTCTCCAATGGTTCCACTGGTCGTACACCACAAATCAACTGTCCACCTGGGACACTTTCACCCAACAACTAGAGCTCCGTTTTGGCCCCTCCCAGTTCACTAATCATGAAGCTCAACTTTATAAACTCCGGCAAACCACCTATGTTTCTCACTATTTGAGCCAATTTGAAACTTTATCCACCCTCACATCCGGGTTAAGCACCGATAGCCTACTGAACTGCTTCATCTCGGGGCTCCGCGATGACATCCAACGGGAGCTATCCATCCTCCACCCCACCTCCTTACAACAGGCCATGGGGATGGCCAAATTGATTAAAGACAAATGAAACGTCGGTCGGGCTCTCTCCCGCCACCAGATATCATCTAGACCCTTCTATCCGCCGTCTCCCTCATCGCCGGCCACTTCTCCCACCCA